TATGGCTACGAAAGCTGAATATTTCTAATCACTACTGTTAATTAATATCGTTACCGTTGTAATGAAGATAATACCTTACATGCATCTTCACTACAAATGTATTAATTAACAAACTTACTATTATAGTTTGGTACAAACTTATGTTTCCTTCGTCACATTTTGAAGTGAATAAATAATATTAAGCAGTAGCAGTGTTTGTATAGTGTGAATAAAGCTTAAAATCGTGTAAACTAAGATATCCTAGTGTGTACACAGATTAATTGTGTCTTAGAGGAGTAAATAAGTATGCTTTGCTTTATATGTATTATACTTGAGTAAGATTAACTCGCGCTATTCATTAAGCGTTTCCGCGTCTGTTCTCAGCTGCATCGCATTGCAGGGCTGTGGTTCTCTTGATTTATTTTAACTTGTGAAACTTTTAAAGTAGAAGGCTACCAGGATATCAGCAAGTTACTGAGATATTTAAGCGGTTGACACCAGGCGATCAGAACCCAATGATATAGAGCAGTAGGTTTATAGTGTAATGTCTTCATTTAAAAGAGTTTGAAATGTGTTTAGAATGTCTTTTGTTTTGTTCAAGTGTTTGTTCAACTAAACTGATTCATATAAAGAGAGAAGACTTGAAAGTCTGTTCAGAAAAAAAAAGTGTAATTCTACAAAGGGATCGAGCTAGTTACTGTTGCTTGGCCTTATGTGGACCTAGAAATTTAAAGAAAATGTTCTTAATGAATTTATCACTTTTTTTTAAAGTTCGGCGCATAATGTTGAAATAGCAGCACAGTAAAGTAAATTAAAACATTTAAGTTTTATAAAAGGGTACCGAGTACAAGTTTTACGCGGAATTTCAAATTCATCGTGTCAACTGCAGGCTTCCCGTAGTTGTTTAAAATTTAAGTACTTTTAAAACCCAGTTTGTCGCTTTTAACAATCGTAAAGAAAATTAATCTTACTATATTATATCCCGCCATGTACAAATGTGTTTTTGATTTCCGATTTACATATGTACATTTATCCGACGTTCTTACGGTGAAGGAAAACATCGTGATGCAACCTGCACATATTATACATGTATGAGAAGAAATTCAAAGATATGTGTGAAGTCAACCAACCCGCACTGGGCCAGCGTGGTTGACTATGGCCTAGTCACCCGTAACTTAGGGTAGGCTCCGAGCCCCTCGGTGGGGACGCATAGTGAGCTGATGATGATGATGTTTGTTAGAAGGTATCTCCAGAAGGGCTGCATGAATCTAGTTGAAATTTATCATAGATGGACAATATAAATTAGGTTTTTTTTTTAAATTAGGCGCGGACGAAGTCGTGAACGACACTTAGTGTTATAAAAAATGCTTTTTAATATATTTACCGTAAGACATTTTGTGTAATTCAGACTTCTTACTAATTTATTCAGGTAAGTATTTTGGACGTGATTTTCAACCGTCACTCATAAGAACACTATTGTGGTCTTTATTTTTTCAGTGTAAAGAGAAGGGTGGCGATGTGTTTGTGACCTAGGCACTGACAGTAGAGAATATTATTTATCTAGCTAGGCATTCTAAGATTGGCAAAACATTGAAAATTTTCTGGAATGATCTATAAATTTTAATGGCACAGGTTCTAGGCTTGTGCTTGCAAACTGGAAGCAAGCCAAGAAATAGTTTTCCATCAAAAATATAAATTTATATACATGAGGTATTTCAATTTCATATTTTGAGAAGAATAGAAAATGTAGATGGAAAATTTATTACTAGTAAAAAAAAATCTGTTTTTAAAAGAAAATAAGTTTTTTAACTTCATAAAGTCAATTGATATGGGAAATACAGCCCTGTAGTATCACCAGAAGGATCGTTGTCAAGCGCTAGCTTATAAAACGTAAAAAAAAATATATTTATTATAGAAAAGGCTACATAAAAATGTTTGAGAAAGCGACACTTAAAATTATAATTAATATCCACCATTAACGAAAGAATGAAGATTTTTAAAGTATTTTATGTTAGTGCCTTTTCCACTGGGCGAGCGGCCGCGCGCGAACCGTCGTAAGTTTCAATTTGAGAGTTACGTGTAGCTAGTTACTCAGTGAAAAAATGGTCTAAATAAAACTGTCTGATAAACTGTTTTATTTATTTAATTAAGTATAATTCATAGCAATATTACATTTTGTGGATTGTATATTTCCTACTAAACTTAACCTAACTTAAGCATAATAAAAAAAAACAAGCCAAAGTTGCGCCACTAATTCTAATCTTTAATAAATAAAATAATTTGCATAGTAATGCTTTTAAAGGAGTTTCATGTTTGTGAAAAATTGCAAATTTCGTTCATCAAAATGTATATTATGATGAAAATGTTTTACATCAAAAAGGACTTCAAATTAAAGTACGTCAGTAAACATATATTTTACTTCTACGATAAAATTTACTAAAGCTTATTAAAAAATGAACAGACATAAAAATATTTATAGAAGAAAAAGAAATAAAGTAAAAATTAAACAATTCCTTTGACACAAAAATATAGGTAGAAATAAAATCGAGCTAATAATTTCGACAAATTAATTATAAGCCTTAATACTTGTAATTCCAAGTTACCATAAAAGCAACAAACATGATTAATATTTAAAAAGTAGCTGTCGTCTCCGTTTGTGTGGAATTAAAAACAAACATGATTAGCCTATGTGTTCTTCCAGACTTTGTTTTATTTATATGTCAAATTTCATTGTGATCCGTTAAGCCGTTCTGTATATACCTTCAAACAAACATCCATCCATCTAAACATTCACATTTATAATATTAGTAAAGATAACCTTCAAAAGACAAATCAACTTTAAAATAATACATAAATAGCGGTGAAATCACTGGGATTTCCTTAAATAATATTTGGAATAACCAACACTGATATCAGAGGAAACGATTATTATCAGGTTATTCCGCTATACTTTATTAAATTAATAACACACTGGGATACAAAAATAATGATATCGCATACTTAAAACTATGTCAAGTCACGTTTTTATTACAGGGGGGCAAACAAGCCACGTGACTAATGGATGCCACCCATATACAACTACAACATTGAAGAATTCCAAAGGTGTTGCTGGTTCGTTTAGCCAGCAAAAGGTCATAATGGAAACCAAAATCATAATATCACGATTCAAACTTTATTTAACGACGTATCTGTTTGCCACTCTCAGAGTCTTTAGTCAAACGCTGAAGAATCCCTTACTGTGGTTTCTTTAGACTAAATCTGCACACAGAGTGACCAGTTAATCTGTCTGTTAGTCAATATTAACTGTCGAGATTCTTGGTTTACTAATTAAATTTTGTGTTAACAATGATTCTATGGCAACTTGCTACATTATTTAGCTAAGTCGTAGTATAACAATGGTTGTTACACCGACCTTGTGGAGTTAGTGCTCGTTAGCAAAAGTTTAGCTACAATACATCCAGCGACCGACAAAGAACACATGTGTGCAAGATTGATGTCCGAATTACAATGGATCTTGAAGCGTTCAACACTTTCTTTAGACCCCTATCAAGTTTCAGCAAGTTCTTACAATATACAGTTAAGTAATTCATAGGCATTTAATATGTTATATCAACCTATCCTTTTACATACATCTCTCTTAGCCGTCATACATACAGTCAGCGTCATAAATACCGTAACAGACAAAATATGCAAAAATATAGGTACACCAAAAGTAATCAATTATATCAGTACAACAAAAGTCCTCAAATTAATAAAAACATTCACCCTGCTCAAATACATCGGTACATACACAGCGTCAAATATATGAGTACATTCAAGGTGCCCATAAATATCGTAGCAGCCACAGCGTCATAAGTAACGAAGCAGTCAAGGTGTGCAAAAATATCGTAACACTTGACAAAATTGAACTCTATCTCTATATAATTGTGATACAATTTGGAATAAACTACTTAACTACACTAAAAAGACAGGTTTAGCAATATACTCCAATATTTTAAAATATGCACTTGAGAATAGTTGCTTTACCACATAGACACAAAAGGCTAAACACTTTCTGCATCTTCCTTAAATCCTAGTGAAAAGTGAAAATCGTGTCTCGGAGATTATCCATTTCTATGGACGAAAACGGTACATATACAATGTATATTGTAAAACCAAAACTCAGTCAGCACTGTCATTCGTTAGGTTGTTATAAAAAACGGAAATGAGCGTCTGACTTGAAACACATTATTAATGTCTGAATAACAAGATAAGGGTTTTAGTATTGTTTTTGCCTCCTTATTTAAATAAAAACAAATGACATATTGTAATTTTCCTCCTACAGTATAATACGCTTTTGAAATAAATGGTTCTTTAAAGCATATGAGATGATATCCAATTTTCACTTCTTATTTTACATAATAGTACCTGGACGACCAAGCTTTGCTCGGTATTTTTTTTTAATTGTATTTTTTGGAAATTATATTTAAGTACGAATTACTAATAAAATGATGAAATATAAATAATATTTTTCGATCTTACCGATAGAAAAAGTTAAGTTTATGTTTGAGTTGATTATCGATAAAACACGAATAAAATGACATTTTCTAAAAATGATTCCTAACTAGATCGATTTATCGCCCCCGAAACCTCCTATATACTAAATTTTATGAAAATCGTTGGAGCCGATTCCGGTATTCCAATTATATCCAAGAATTGCTCATTTAAAGATATAAGATATCAATATAAATCTCTCCTCGCACTAACTCCATTCAAGTAGGGTGCACCAGTTTTCGTCCTCCATTTCGTCTTCCGTCTCTCAGCTGTCAATCCCTTCTTGATCATGTCACTACGCAATCCATCCATCTCTTCCTACGCCTACTACCGGTGTAAAAGTGGAAGACTTATATATATCCATAAAAAATATGAGCACTTTTTCCTAAAAATTAATTCTTTCCTGTCGGACCATAAAATTAAAAAAAATAAACTAGTAAATTGAATGTATAATATTTTTTGTTGATAATACTAATATTAAATGGTCAGACATGAAGCGGGAGAACTGGTTTGTCGGTGCGTCATTTTATCAACATTTATTGTTGTGTCGTCTACAGTGACGCATGTCTTTATATAGTATATAATATTTATTTAAAATGTTTACTAAATGTTACATAACGCAGACATTTTTGTTAGCAATACTGGGTATGTTTGTGCGAGTTATTTAATTCGTTTAATACAATTGTTTTTTGTGATAATTGTTATGTAAACAACGTATTATGTTTTCTGTTCATTATTATTTACATACAAGTAAATAAAACACTTTTGTATATAATATGGTACAAAATGGTTACAAATGATGTTATTTTAGATATTGTTTATAGTCCTACGATTATGTTGTACATAAAATTCTATTTATTTATTTGTCTTTTTTTTGTTAGCGGTACACGCATGTGGTCAATACGCGACCAATCTAACTCCAAGACAGCGATCGAGATTAAGACCCAATTATAAAGATGACACGAGTAACGTAAGTATTATTATAATCGTATATTAGATGTCACACACAGCTTTGTTACAATCTTCTTCTTCGTATACTTCATTACTGAAGGTCGTACTTGTCTTGATATGCTTATACGGCTGTGTCGACCAGTTGCCTCCACGCCGTCCTGTCTTCGTCTTGTCTCAGAGCAATCGTGATATTGAGTCCCAATATAGCCTGCACTTGATCGGACCTTTTGTTATAATAGTAGAATATAAAAAAGAAACTGATATCAGACTGTACTTTATCCTTGTTTCAAATTACATCCTGATTCGTTTGGTCGTTCTGAAGTTATGGAGTAGCAAACATACATACATCCAAAATTGGGCGTTGATAAAGTTAGTAAATTTTGCTGATATTTACAGTTCGGTGATCTTTTGCTTTATTTTGAGGTTATATTGCCCCATTGAATCTTAATGATAATTTGCTTTTTAAATTATAAAAGTGTCATCTTCACATATCATTACAGTTAACTGCAGTCGATTTAAAATCGGTAAATCTCTTCAGAATAATACATAGAAGGCTTGAGAATAGAGATCTTGAAGCCGAACCATGTGATACACCGACTCTGGTGATGCCTGACTTTCGAGGCCCTGGTCTACGCCTCAGTGATGTCAGTAAGTAATCTAATTCTCGTCGGTTCATTTACATCACCGTTTAAAGACTCGAGTCTACTAAGGAATGATGAATTAAGACAAACACGCTGACCCAGTACGTTAGTTGACTGCACACATCTTTGAATTTCTTAGCAGAGACAAAGGTATGTGTAGATTACATATCAATGTTTTCCTTCTATTCAAAAGGATATATCAACAGTCGTAAAAATCGTTCCATACTTAAGCTTCATGATGTAATAAATATTTATTTCTTATTTTCAGAATGCTTAGAATATTTATGGAAAATAAGGTACTACGATGAAGCATTGATAAGTGCAGCGCTGTGTAAGTTATTCCTTTCGAGTTAGCTAACATGACCACGAGATACATGCATTAATAAGGCAACATTTTTTGACTCTACCTATCCGCGCGGATCACCTGAACTGGCGAAGCTGGGGTTGTACGGTGAAGTGTAGGTCTAAGATGTGTAATAAAGTGAAGTGAACGATAAATATAATTTCAATTGATCCTGTCGATCTAAATCCTATCCGCGTGGTACCTTGTGGTGATGCTAACTAAGCCTTATTCATCATTGCTTTTAAAATAATTACATATAATTATATTTCATAGGGCATCAATAGCTAAAGACTTACTTGATTCTGGGTGCTTCCTTGCTTATGTCGACTTTACGGTTTATGAATTTAAATATAAAGTTTGTCTTGGACGATGGCCGCTTGTTCACTGCTCTTATTTACGAAGCGTTGATCTGGACGGTTTGAATTTGAGTGGCGGCGAGTGGTTGCCCGGCTCCTGTAGTATTTAGTCGTAGTAGTAGGTAGCATTTAGTGTAAATTTAGTAAGACAAATGTACATTAAGAAAATTTAAAAAAGTATGAGTTCATGGCTTCGGTTTTAGGAGTAACAGTGACCGAGTGACAGATTCATGCCAGGATTGGGGCTATTGCAAAATCGTAAATTCTGCTACACTTAAGTTTTTGTACAATTTATAGGTACAAATAACACCAAGTCTACAGGAGTGTACAACATAGTGACAGCTGTTGCCGGCGGACTTGATGGTATTCCTGGGGAATTTCCTCATATGGTAAGTACCAACAACTATTAACGAGAAAAAAAAATGGGATTGAATATTGATGGATACAAAGGTATTGAATGAAGGAAGAACATGACAGCTAATAGAGTTGTATGGAAGAATATGTATGAGGAAGTTGCTGTTGTTTTCAACATTAACCGCCTTAAATATGTGCTTTGTATAGTTTTATCCAGAAGATCATATATTCGCAACTCTAGTTTATGGTGTATGGAGTACCTCTATATACAATTTTTTTTATTAATTATCGGTGATTATTTCCCATATGGCTGATGGTAGTCATGATGTCATGATATCGTTGAATGTCTTTGTACGTAATTGCTGTTGCCGACTGTACCACATCGTATATTCTCTGGCAGGGTGCTATAGGTTGGGAAACAGTGAAGAATACTTGGCTGTTCAAGTGTGAAGGAGCGCTTATCAGTGAGAGGTTCATGGTGACTGCTGCCCACTGCTCGCGGTTGCCTACGCCGGACGCAAGAGTCACTGACCTTTCGCCTAAAGTTGTTCGCTTAGGAGAAGTCAATATATCTGACGAGGTATGTTCTTTGTGCGACAAGATTATCTGGGCCGGTAAGATAACGCTGTTATTATGGTTAAATAGAAAATGGAATCGAACATGACAATACACCTACAGTATGGCAAGGATCTTGACTCTTTTTTTTTAATTGAAGGGAGCGCTAGTCAGTTATAATCATTTAGTTAGACATGTTCACCGGGTCAGATAACTTTGTCGGTCCATAAGTAATATTCTTATTTGTTAAGTAGTGTGCTTTTACAAAAACATTTTGTCATTCCTGTTTCCTCAAAGATAAATCGTGGTATGTCGGTTTGTTGTTTGCAAAGTAATTGGATAAATTACTTTGCAAACAACAAAGCGTGATTAGAATTTCTTCGTTCACTAAGATTTTTGAAATAATGTATTAAATAAACAATTATTTTCAGGAAGCCATCGGGAAGACACCTCAAGACGTTTTAATACAAAGATTTATATTACACCCTTATTACAAATATTCGAGGAAAATTTACGACATAGCTCTTGTTGAATTCAAAGATGAACTTGTACTGACAAGTAAAATGTATCCAGCGTGTCTTTGGACTAACCAATTTGACTTGGTGGGTCCTGCGGAATTAACTGGATGGAATACGATAGAATCAAGTAGGAAATACTGAGTTAAAGTCAAGTGCTAGAAGTGGCAATTGAGCTTAATTGACATCGCTAATTTTTTTCTATTCCTACAGATAAAACGGTCCCAACCAAGGAATTCATTAGCGATGGTTTTGATGTATTCACGAGGCTTACTCTCTTGTCAAAAATTTCAGATGACGACCGAAAGAAAGGTAATATTGTTTATATTATACTAGCTGTTGCCCGCGACTCTGTTGGCGCGGGTATTAAACAATACTAGCCGATTTTAAGACCTACTGAATATACATATAAAATTTCATAAAAATAAGTTAAGCCATTTTGTAGGAGTAAATAACGAACCACCTAGTCACCCTTAACTTAGGGTAGGCTCCGAGCCATTCAGTGGGGACGTATAGTGAGATGATGATGATGAATTCTCGTGTCACAATGTTAGGTACAATTTTATAAATAAGATTATATGTTACATAAAAATATTGTCGTATGATGTTAGTCTTCAAAATGTCAGTCTGTCATTTTATTTTAATAATTAATTTTTTTATAGATCATAGTGTAAGTAATCCAGTGTTGCAACTTGCAAGAGTCAACGTAATGAGCTCATGGGCGTGTTACAAGATGATGAATCGGAATATTTTATTCCATCAGCTTTGTGCGGAACGGGTCCAGACGAATGTATCCAATTGCAAGGTGAGAAGAAGTGATTATTGTTTTATAAACCTATATTATGTCACGATAGTGGCTAGAAAAGCGTTAGTAATTAGCGTATTAATAGTTCGATACTGGAGTAGGTTGCAGTCATGATTATTAGGAATTATAAAAAGTTTTTTAATGTTAAGACATACGCCATGTTTGACAGTTTAGTGAAGTTTCGCACCTATTTGCCTTGTCTTAAAGTAGTTTGATTTAACCTCAACTTTATTTACTTCATTAGCTGTCACACAAAAAAAAACTTAATGAGTAGCCTTTGTTCTTCCAGTCTATGTAGAACATCTATGCCAAATTTCATTAGGATCCGTTAACCTGTTCCGGAGTTACATACCTTTAATGAAACATCCATCTATCTAAACATTCGCATTTATAATATTAGTAAGAGTAAGATTGTATTATTGTCTTCTTAAGTCTTTGTCATCTTTTCTTACTTTTCATTAAATTTTATAATTCTAGGACACTAGCGGCGTGCTCGAGGCGCGGCTCAATATTCCAGAATACACGGACTGGAATATGCATTATTTGATTGGAATTAAATCTTTTAATTATGGATGTATTGATGAAAATCAAAGGGGATTTGGTGTTTATACAAAAGTGTCCGTTTTTATGGATTGGATCGAAGGAATTGTTTGGGGAAAGGAATCGAAAAAGAAGAATGCTACTGAAAATTAAACTTAAGATATAGTTAAAAAATATTTACGAAATAAAACTCTAAAGTTAAGGTTCATTTAGACCTAAGCCAAAGACAACATTCGGTAGTCACTTTAGAGCGAGACAAACGTATATACATGAGAGCGCTCTACTACTGACGTCATAGCCGTACGGTGTGCCACACGACTTAATTCCTTGGGATACAATGTTAAAATGCTCATCTGAAGATCCACGTTTTTTAGATATGAACGTTGTCGCTTCATATTGGAAAGCTAAGTTACAACAATTTGGTAATTTTGTGCGTCTATTATAGCAAACGCGAAATTACCAAATTGTAAACGGAACCAAATTAAACAAGTTATTTTAAATTTCTTTTATTCACATAGCTGTTCTTAGTAATATGTAGGATTTGTTTTTAAACATTTATGTGTTTTATTTTAAAACAACAATATATATTATATGTAAGATAACCTCCAGTATTATATAATATATATTGTTGTATTAACCTCCTTCTTTTTGAAATCGGCTAAAAATGGACAAAAATAATATTCTTCATAACTTGGAATTTCCTTTTGAATAATAAACATCGTATTATGATATAAAATAAAAAGTATGCTTAAGGTAAATCCAGCGTATTATAAATATCAGTTTCTACGTCACACTGCACTGGTATTTCTGATTTTCCTTATGCGGCCACAGCATGACAACAAATTCAACAAGGACACGATTTTACCGTCTGCTAATTATGGAATTTGATTATTTACAAAAAATAAATTACTAACAACAAAGGCTCGTTTAATTTTATTTACTAAATGAATACATAAATTTTTATTTCAGAATTAGTTTTTTCCTCGCCACACGACATCTTCTATCCAGTCTATAAAACTACTGACCCTGGTGTAAACGCCGGGCGTGTTTGCGCGTGCGCAGCCAATGCCGAATGACGTCACCCCGATGACGTAGTGTATAGCTCCCTCACTGTTAGATGGCAAATCTATTTTCACTTGCAATGGCCCTCCAGAATCACCCTGTAAATGGCAGTTATGTTTTAAATTTAATAATAGTAATGAAAGTAAACTTTATCTCAAATCACTTTGATGACAACAAAAGTACAGAAAGACGAGTTTCTTTTTTCACTGATTGAAAAGAAAACGAGCTAAGAGACCAGATGCTTCGCCTGCTACTACTATTAATAGATGAAAAAACGTACAGAAGATTATTCCCCCTTCCGAAGAAGAGAAGGACAGGACTAACATTCTATCTAGACTACATAAATTTAAACTTTCAAGAATTTAGTGTCCAGAAAATCTCAGGATAAAAGTGATGAATGTGGAGAATTAATAAAAGTATTACGCTTGGTCACATACCTGACAAGCGTCAACACCGCCTGCTAATTTTCCAGCGCAAAGTTGAGTTTCATTCATCCCGCACCAAAGTCGTGTACAAGAAGGCTTCAAAAAACTGTCACAGACATCCGAATTTAATATGTCCACTTCTGCAGCCTGCAGTTCAGGAGATGTTAGAAGTCTTGCTGCAATACAAAGAGAAGCTTTAAGAATGAATGATGCAGAAGCTTAAGTTTAAGAAAGTAAAAATAGATATCAAAGTTAAGATAAATCAAAAGACAAAACGCATATATTTCAACATTCAAGAGAACAGTAAACAATAAAAAATTAATATTATAGTTTTAACATCCAGAGAAATCGCCCAATATTTTGTTCAGTCCCTACTTTTTCTCCATTTTTTCAACTTTACCAATTTATACAAATTTGTGTAACTCCAACAATTTTATGAAAGTTTCTAGTTTCTTTCGCCTTTTGCTTCACCTATCAATATGAAAATTTTTAGGTTACCTGTTTCAATGACACCCCATCCAGTCAAGGTTGCCTTCGTCCCAAGTGGACTGGTGTCATACCTGGGCCATAGACACGCCGGCTGAACGTATTTATCAAAACTCACATCTCTCACTAATTCTATAATTGCGATGTCGTAATATTTCTTCGGTGGCTTGTACAACGGATGATTTATGATTTTCTTAATTCTTACGTCAACTGGATCCAATCCATTTGAAAACTAAAAAGAAACAACATGAACTTTTATATCTGGTCTTAATTTGATTTGGAGTTATTACTCAATAAACATTTATACATATATCCAAAATGCTGCATTTATAATATTAGTAACAGTAAGGTTAATTACATATAATAGCGTCAGGGTCTGTGTTATCATACTCGACTTAACATGACCCAAATTATCACGATAACTTAGACCCTTATTCCACTAGCCGGTATAATTATGAGTTTTTATCAGAAATGAACTCACCCTATCAATAATATTTTTATCACCCAATCTCACGATCTCCGGCACCTGGTTTGCTACGGTAGAATCTCTCGGTGATACTTTAGAGCAATGTGCCGCTGTCAGCATGAACTTGGAACTTATCAAGGAGCTGCCGCATTTGAATATCCATGTACCCGTTGACGATTTCCACCCCACTGCACCCTGGAATAAAGGCTTGTTAGATACAGTTTACTCCCAATTAGTTATGAGCGCCTAGTAAAATTATTATACTCCAAGAAGAAAATGACTTAGGAATAAGGACAACACAGTAGGGGAGAGAGAGAGATCTTTCTCTCTCTAACACTTATTGTAATTATAATGAAAGAGAGAGACAGTACTATCTCATTATAATTATTAAATATTTTTAGAAGAAGATTTATTCAATTGATCCCCTTAAATTGGTAATTTTGTTGTTGACTAGATTTCATGTTGTACATGCATGGTTCTGGTTGTCATGTTTATCTTCTCAAATGGTATTATATATTATGTAAAAACTATGATAAATAAACTTCTTACCATGTGGGGGAATTCACCTGGCTCCGTTATTCTACCACCTATCGCAAAATGTGGCTTGACAGGACTGCGTTCGTATTGGTATTGAAAACCTGCCAATAACAATAAATATTTTTATTCTAATAGACCGCTGTCTTAATTTAATGTTGTACTGGCAATAAACGCCTTTACATTTAAAGAAATAAAAAAAATATTTTTGAACTTAAAACGTAATAACGGATGATACAAATTCTGTTTAAAGTTCCAGTTAAGTATTACATTCTATAAAAAATTGACTTTTATTTAAAACTAGCTGTCGCCTATATGTTCTTCAAACTAAGCTCTACATCAGTGAAAAATTTCATCAAGATCCGTTGACCTGTTTCGAAGATATCTTCAAACAAACAGCTATCCATCTAAACTTTAGAATTTATAATATTATCAAGATGGTTTTACTTTATGTAAGTATTCATTTATTAATTATGTTATTCTAACCATAAATTTAACGTAAAAATATTAACGTATTTTACTAACATTCACGCAATTTTTTGTTGTATTCTTGCCGATTTTCTATTTCCCAAAGATATTCGTAGCATTCTGTAAAAAAAAATAACTTTTAAAATATTCAACATTAAGATTAATTTATTTATTAAAAATTCATGATATCCATTTAGACAAGATTACATAAAAATTATCTACTGAAAAAAAAAACAAAAAAGTGGATCAGTATGTTAAATACTAGCAACAGAAATGGCTCAATTATATTAAAAAGAAAAAGTGAAGACAGGAAAAATAAAAAAGATAAGGTTTGGAATATTTCACACCACCACCATCAGCTCACTATACGTCCCCACCGAGGGGCTCAGAGCCTACCCTAAGTTAAGGGTGATTAGGCCATAGTCAACCACGCTGGCCAAGTGCGGGTTGGTTGACTTCACACATATCTTTTGAATTCTCAGATATGTGCAGGTTGCATCACGATGTTTTCCTTCACCGTAAGAACGTCGGATAAATGTACATATGTAAATCGGAAATCGAAAAACACATTGGTACATGGCGGGATTCGAACCCAGGACCTGCAGATTGCAAGTCAAGTGCTTGATCACTGAGCCACCGACGCATGGAATATTTGATTATCAAAAATGTTTACAATGAATGTACAATTAAAGTGCTAATAGTCTAATGGTTAAGGGTATGGACTTCTGATTACGTGGTCGGGCATTCCAATCCCGCTATTTGACTATTATCGTAAACCATGTCCTAACACAAGGATTGAGCTTAGTTGGAATGATACAAGAAATATTAGTAAATTAACAAAAATCTTCTGATATTAAAAAAAAATGAGTTTAGAGATATATACTCACTCGCATCGCTAATTCTCCGGCCAGGTATTTCAAAAACAGGTTTTTCAATTTTTTTATATAAGCAAGGATTGTTCGTATCGTTAGTAGTATTCTTGTCTGCTGCTGACGCTCCATTCTGTTTAATTTATTTATTGTATCTTACTACTCGTTATATTATAAATGCGAATGGTTTTTTGTTTAGATGGATGGATGTTTGTTTCAAGGTATATCCGGAACGGCTCAATGGGTCTTGATGAAATTTGGCACAAATGTAGAACATTGCCTGAAGGAGCACATAAGATACTTATTATTTTTTATTAATTCCACGCGGACGGAGTCGCGGGCGACAGCCAATATTGCTAAAAGGTAAAGACTAAAAGTATGAACGGATCTAGTAATGGACAGTGCGAAAGAAATGAGAGTAAATTGAGTATGACGACAAACAGTACAAAAAATTTATACTAATTTTGACATAAATACGAAGGCGCTTGTCGCAAATATTCGTGCTAGGCCCCAAAGGTTGATGATGGTGTATGAAAATTACAATTTAAATTTGATTTTGGTAAAGTAATAATTTATAAATAAAAAAAAATATTCCTTTATTCATGTTAAAAAATATAATACGATTAATTTCATTATCATCAAAGCCGATGGAAGAAATTAGCAAGTATTATATAAATAAAATTCTAATAAATTAATTATACGCTTCATAATATAAATTATACACAAAATATGCCTCGTTTTGTTTTTTAGAAAGTTTTTAGTTGACGTAACTATTACTTTAAGTCTATTTAGTTTGGAAGAAAAACAGACTTCTAAGCACTTACGTTATCTTGTTTAAAGTTTTAAAAACTTACCCGTTTTGACCTTGATATAGGTTTCAATTCATTTAAATCATCTTGCGGCCGTATTCCTTCTACTGTTATAATTAGAGATGCTGTAACTGAAATAAAAGGCACAAATTAATATTATAAATGCAAATGCAGATGGATGGATGTTTGTTTGAAGGTATCTTCGGAACGACTCAACCGATCTTGATGAAATTTGGCATACATGTAGAACGTAGTGTGGAAGAACATATAGGCTCATTAAGTGTTTTTGTAATTCCGTGCGGACAGAGTCGCGGGCGACAGCTACTTTGCTATATAACTGTTTACATTAACGATGTTAAATTAGTCAAAGTGATTCACTTTAAATAAAATAGTTTCGTCGAAAAACTACAAAAAAAAATAATGTTTTTTTTTTCTTAAACTATGACATAATAACCTCACTTTTAAAATGAAAATATCACGTCTATAAAAGTTTAAACCGATGTAATACTTACACAAAAATGTTAAGAACTCCTTAAAACACTTCATTTTTTTGTTTTGAAAATACACAACACTAACTTCATAACACACTTATTCAAAGATATTCACTGAACGCATACAACTTGTCAAGATGTATCCCACGGTATGGATAGTTATCGAAAGAGCTGGTTTTGTTCGAGCTGATGTCAGGTGTGCTAAACCTGTTTTAAAAAGCAATATTTTATTACATTGTGACCTTTTGACATACGAGACTTGTAACATAACAACATATAACTACATATATAATTGTATTCAGTATTTTGTTTCGTATTATCTAGTTAAAAGGATATTAATGTTTTCCGCGCGTATGTATTTTTGTATTAATGTTCATTGTAGATAAAATTGGATCTAAGTCAAACGCTAGATTTTCGTTATAAAAAAAGTTTGCACCCTTCTGTACCGTAAGAGGTTGGATTATTGTACGATTTCGAGGAGTAATATATGCTTAATTAACGATTAAGTAATGCATGAATTTAATTCTTTGAATGCATACCTATTGGTATTTTATTTTATTCCTTATTATTATAAATAATTACAAATATCAGAACAATGAAAAACGAACGAATGTTTTAATTTCACACGTTTCTCAGACAGATTTTTTCTGTATTTATAAAAAAAAAAGTTCCCCTAGGAAGTTAAAAATTGATTATATTTACCGTGTATTTATAGATATTTGGAAAATGTACCATTAGTTTGTTACACCTGGATATTCCCTTTAGATGCGTTCAGTAAAGTCGGGATTGTACCGTACAAAGATCGATGTCATCATTTACTCAAATATCATTAGTCAACAAAAGGTTCTTTTTTAATTTTATAATATTCTAGTTATAGCCTTTAATATTTGTAAAATTTACTATTAAACTACCTATAATATGTCTAACACAACGAATGATCTTACGGTGAACTTTAACTGTCACTTAACACGTGTTACACAATTGTTTAATACGTCTATTCTGTTTTTTTTTTAATTTTTTTAATAAATAAAATGTTAGTAGATTTTTGTAAATGTACTATTATTTCTTCATTCCATTCCAAGTTAGCTCTAGGTTTATGAAAGGATATTATTTAGGATAATAGTCGATTGGATTCGAACTCCCGATCACGTGATCGGAAATCCGTATCCTTAACTATTATGCAATAAGCGTACTATATGTTTTAAAGAATATAAGATTACTGTTACGGCAATGGAAACTCTTCGTAAATACATAATTGCGTTATCATATGACAAAAATTGTATTCTATTGGTAGTTCTAGTGATTAGTACGTTCACATAGCTTTATAACTCTTTATGCAGACGTACACTCTACGAATAGTACAACTCACGACCGTACCCCAGTAGGGTAGTCTATTTAGCTTGGTCCTAGCATATACCTCTCTTTTCTTTACAGTCAAAATAGCCTTGATTACAAGTGCTATTAGAATTGCTAAGAACTTATTAATTAATTGTAATTTCCAAATTTGTTGGTGCCTAAGCATTTTCACATGCATTCAAAAATTCACCCGCACACCTAACTTAAAAAAAACACATACACACACACACACACACTTTCTCACACGCATAATCATACACACACATGCTATCCTTTGATATTATTTGCAGTTCAAAATTACTTACTTTAATGTCTTCATGTATTTTCTTATTTTCCAAATTGTATCTCATAATATCACGCTTAGTTTTACATGATATGTACGTACTGTTATTTTGTTTATGGCTAGTGCACTCCTAGGCCCCGAGATACAGGCTCAGCCTAGTTCAAGGTCTGCAGATACTTCAATGTATATTATTCTAACGTGTTTTAGTGAAATGTTCTATTCTTATTCTATTCTATTTTAGAAATGTTATGACGTCATTGAACCATTCAAAGAGGAAGCCTCTCTACCTGTATTGCGTACGTGATTGAAATAAATGTAATTTTGTCTCTATTGGCCGTCCCCACGTGCGTTACCATTTTACCGTTATG